TCTACGTCACATTGATGTTAAAACAGCCTTGATTAATCCTGAGAGTACCAGATGTTAAGGCAAGACAAGTTAACAGGTTATGCTGATCATTGACAGCTATAGTCCTTTCAGTAGGGGCACAAGCTAACAGCTTATGTGAATGGTACTTCCTAGATTGCTAGCCTTTACTAGGTTTTAGTAAAACATCTCTAAGGCACTGTGAATGTCCCTGTGATTGTCCCTGTGATTGTCCCTGTGAAAATTTTCCTGACAAATTTCTCCTTTCTAGGGTACGTGTTTCAGTGAATGTAATTAACAAATGTGCCCCTGTGGAGTGTGTGTTTCAGCCAAGGGACCGACAAATGTCCCCTTTCCAATGTATTCTGTGAATAAACACAGATCAACTGTCCAACACGTGTTTGTGGGACAGTAAGCCCATCTTCGCTAAAAATGGGAAGTCCTTGTCCTATATTTTGTCCTGATATGTAGACTTGCGGACATGGACCAGCAATAGTCAGAGATCTTTGTCAACATGAAGCCCTGTATGTGTGTAAAGTAGAGCAGGATGATCTTGAAGCTTGTCGTGATACTAGCATTACATCATGTGTATAACCTGCATATCAGCGTGCAATGATTAGACAGTTCTTATCACGCAGCAAAGTTTGTTTCTAAAGTTCAGAGTTCAATATATGTCACTCCCACAGGAATATAAGTGTGGGTTGCATGGGATAGGGTCACCAGTGTTGAAGAGGTAGTACCAGAGCAAACATGGATTTGAAAAGGGTAGGTCCGTTCTCTGCACTTTCTGTCAGCACCTCCTCTTTATGATGTGTGGAAGGTGTACATTATTATTATTTCTATGTGTCCTACTGGTAATTAATTTTGCACTTGAACAAGAATGTTCTGTATCACTTATTATATTATCATTGCTACAGATTTGTTTTTTTTATTTCAAACCAAGTTGAATTAATTCGTTGTGTACTATATGCATCCTAGTAAACTTAGTTTTATACAAGTATATTACGATGAAGTTGTTCAGAAGCCTGAGATACAGGGTAACACTATACCAATGGGTGTAGAACTAGTGGAGATTTGGTTCTTCCATGTTGAACACAATGGTTTGGGTCTAGTACCATGGCTGTGTGGAGGATGTTCACTCCTCCATGTTGAACACAATGGTTTGGGTCTAGTACCATGGCTGTGTGGAGGATGTTCACCATCATTCAGTAGACAAAAGAAGCCACTGATGTGTCTGTAAGCATCTGTCTGCCCAAAACAATTCAACATTGATGTGAAGGAGGTTAGTGGAAGAGTGCATCAGAGCAACATCAGGTAGTGTGGAGCAGCTACTCTACATCAGCTAGCCGGTCATCAACCATCAGCAAGTCAACAATTCTAGCGTGAAGAACTGCAGCTTCTGTTGACTTATAAACATGCTTCATTCTCTTGATCTTAACTGGCATTAAGAAATTGGGTATATGTACATACGTGACATATTTTGCAGACAAGTTAAACCACTGTTTACATTATCAAAGAATCCTGACCAGTGTACTGTCAGTGTCGACCAACATCCACACATCAACTGTCACAGGGACGGGATCTGTGCCTCAGTGGCCCAGTGGTGTTGGAGATGCTTCAGTGAAGACCAGGCAGCCAAAGAAGCACCATTCTCTTGCTGTTAACTTTTGTCCCTACCTAAGGGACTAAAGTTGTCAATGATCAACATAAGCTGTTAACTTGTCACATGCCTAAAAGTATATCGCTCTTTTCAATTAAATGTTTAACCTTAATGGTAATAGCTGTCTGTAAAATATCAGCTACCTACGTGTCTTGCCTAAATGACTATAACTGTCAGTTTCGTGTGAGCTACTTTAGTCTCACCTAAATGACTATAGCTGTCACTGATACAACAAATTATATAAGCTGTTATCATGTCTGGTTTATAGCAATAATCATAACTGCTGTATGGCCAAATCCTTGAAAGATTTAAATAGGACATTAACGTTGAGCTGATGATTGACATAAGTCCCAGAGTCATCGAAAAGTGTGACGTTTTATTGGATGCATGATTACATAATTGATAACGTAAGTCCTGACTGTTAATGTAATATCCTGGTTGTATAAACACTACCAGTGACGCTGCTAGAAGAAACAGCTACTTCACCTTCGAACCACATCATCCTTTCATCTTTTATCAGTTCATGTTTAAAAAAAATGAAAATGTTGGAAGAATACATTGCAGCCATAGGAATTCCCTTGTCCTCATCATTGTGTTGATATTTATTGTTGAGTTGTCTGTAGTGGAATTGTTAGCACTCATAGCCTCATGGGTACTGTAACCATTTAGAATATTACTAAGTCTGACTGGCAGAGTAGTGTTGAGTCTATATATGGCAGTGAGAAGTGTATTTAGCTAGATATCCAGCGATCAAATTCCCCATAAATATACGTGTCTAACTTTTCTTACATGTTTAGATATTTTAGTGAGTGGGTATTCTGTTGTGTAGGAATTGAACCCGCACTTTCAGAGTTAGGCACCTTTTCATGTGGAAGCCTCCTTGGCAGAGTGGGTTAGGTGCCATACCAGAAAGTGTGCTTTCGAATCCTGGATGGGAGCCTCCATATGTAGATGAATTCAGCTGCACTGGTTTACTAAACTGACCAAGATACTTGCAGGGAGCTGAAAATGTAGGTCCTCAGATTGATATACTGCGTAGCGGTGAGCGCAGTGTACATACATGATGATGTTTGTTGACCTGCACATAACACAGTTTCAATTGATGCCCCAGGCCTATTTTGATCTGTAGTTTGTTTAGGCCAGCTCCAGTCCCCCAACCATGTTATTTTCCCTTCTACCCAGCCCTTACTATAATGATGTAGAATGAAATCTAGAGCTCAGGTTCTCAAACTCCCACTGGAGTTTTGTTTTCTATTAAAATGAATTTTCTTTCAAAATGATATATTTTCAGAGACTGAAAACAGTATACCTTTGTTACTATACAAAACAAATTTCTAACACATGTCTGAATAATTGTAACACCTTGCAAGATTATCAGTAAGAATAAATTATACTGCAGGAATTGGGATAGAGAACTTTGACAATGGGACATTTTCAGGATTATCAGCCATTTTCTGAATTGAGAATGGGCCAAAACCCTTGTATCAATAGTAAATTTCAAAATTTTAATGGGAAATTTTGTATTCTAAAAATGGCCCTATGGCAAATATGGCCCTATGGCCAAAAAATTCTCAGTTGCCTTTTGTGAAGACCTTTATTTTGCTTCCCAAGTCCCTGATATCTAGGTTTTCACCTTAACTTAAGGATTTAAGGATTTACGGTTTTACGGATTTTCCACCTAAACTTTGAACATTGCAAATGTTTCCAACTTCCGGGCTGCTGAGTTGTCACTTCAGTGATAGTGAAGCAGCTGTTACCTGTTCCATCCTACAACTGTATCAGATCTATATCTCTATAGTCATACCGGTTCATTCCCTGTTCTGTCTCAGTTTAATCACACTTCTAGCTTTAATCTTTTCAAGGCAGATGCTACCAGATGTTAGAAAGATTCTCACAAGTGTGAGGACTGTACCCTTGAGGTGTTGGCATTTGGTTGGTGTGGGGTTTACTGTATCTTGTAAAATTAAATGAATATATGTATTATATTTCAGTGATATTGAACAATCTGAATAATATGTAGGTAACATTCATTGAATAGATACTGTCATAGCTTGCACATGACAATGTATTTTCAGTTCCAGTGTGTGAGTATTTCCAAGTGTACCTACCACCTCAGGCCCACCATATGTTGCAGTCTATTCATATTAAACTTCTCACCTTGCAGTCCAAAGGCAATATGCTACTTGATTAATTTAAATTCATGCAATGCTCACTCATACTGTGACAGATTAATTAACATGGAAAGCAGGACAAGCCTAAATAATGATTCAGAAGAATTATTTCCAGTACAAGTAAATGTGTGAAGAAGTCACTTCGCACACAGGTTCCTGGAGCGGATAATAGCCTTAATTAGGATAAATATTTTGGCAATGAAGGTGTCTGATAACTTTATTCCCACTTTGTGTGGTGATGTGTTAGTACTGAAGATACTCTTCACTTCTTCACTTCTCCATTTTGGATTTCCTACTTAGAGAAACAATATAGTGTATGAAAGACAAACATCTAATTGGGGATGAAACCCCACCCAGTGGCTGGAAATGTCTAAGATATATGCTAACAATAATTGCTAATTTAACATGAAACTAAATGCTGAAGACAATGATAGATGAGTGGGTGGATTTCTTCAATGTTTTAGAAACAATAAGGTGCAATAATTGGTTGGTTAACCAATGACATGACATGAAATTAATAACAGTTTCTTAGTGATCATGCTACCTGTTTGTACAACACCATGTCTGTCTGTATTTTGTGTCAGTATCAGTATGATTACAGTATGGGCAAGTCTAACACTATGGGTGGTGGTGGTGGGTGGTGTTAATAGCTACACTTTGATAGTGTTAATAATTAGGTAAAAGGCTTTTGGGCTATTCAATTTTATGATGTTGTAACAGAAGAGCTCAGATTTATGGATTAAATGTTATTTGAGCAGTATTTTCATCACACCTGTTGCTTTTAAACTCAAACTGAGATCTTCAGTTTTTTGCCAGTACTAAGGTGTGATGTAACATCAGTTGCACAAGTTGATTCCAGGGAGGAAGTCAGTATGAGTGTACCTAAGTCACTATAATCCTTCACAACTTCAGGTATTTAACTGTTACACGAGTGATGCATGAATGAATGTGAAGCACTTGTAAAAGGGGAGGCAGTTTCAAGCATGCTTTGAGAGGCGGAGCTGCATGAAAATGTAGGTCAATGATTGGCTTAGCAGGGTTAGTGTTGGTGTGAGTGACAAGTGCAAGCCACATCATCAATGCAGCTGTGTGCAAGAACTTGACAGTAAAAGTGTTAGGCATAAAAGGCCGAGAGCTTGGTCGTTACATTTGGGAGACTGTATTGTGCTACCATGAGCAGTTCTAAGAAGGAAGGGAAGGTGAGTGAGAGCAGTCCCTCGTTATTTCACAGGGAGAAATGTGAATGTTGACTTGTCAGTCCATGGGTCAGTCAGTCAGCGATGTTTAGTTCCTACCTACTGCTTGTGGCATGGGGGTTATTGTCCACAAGCAGCCTCTCTAAAGTAGCTCATTGATTCAGGCAGTTAACAGGTGTGTGGCTTTACAATATCAACTTGCCACTTATTCAATATAGATGCAGTTGAAAGCAGGCCTGGGCAGTGTAAACAATCTTTTAACTTGCTGACCTAACTCTCAAGCAGCAGCCTATGTTAACTTACGGTAGCCAAAACTGAATTCCTGAGAGTTCTTTCTCAGTATCTTCACTGAGGCTCTGTACACATTCCTGGATTTTATTAGTTTGAATTCTTCTTGTTATAAGAAATTCAGCAAGATCACATTACATAATGACTTGACAGGCTATGAAAGTGCTCAAGTACACATATGAAGTTTGTATGTGGGACACATGGGTTAGCCTTGTCCTGTCAGACACCATGCTGTGTGCTGGTGGTACATGTCACTGTACAAGGGCTGGTTGGTGGTCCACCATGTCAATATATTCATGGCAACATGTGGGCTGCAGAGAACTGTCAGGATTGATGCGGAAGATTCATCAATATCTGAGCAGTGATGATGGTGTTTGATGTCGTCTGTTGTGTGGTGTATACAATACATATCCAGCACTCATAGCTTTACCTGTTTAGTTTTAAATACGTGTTTGTTACTTTACAGAAAGTGTATGATGGATTTCAATTGCTGGTTATTTAACTTATAGCCTTGATTATAATAAAGTTAGAAATAAGACATTTCAAAATATTCCATATTTTCAATAGTAAAAAAACCATAATGGATCAAGTGCAGCACAAGTCTTAGCATTTTGAACTCATAGCTGACAAAATTTATACCACACCTTCTGTATTTGAATACACGATGTTCCACCTATTTTTATCTGGAGATAATACATTCTCTGCAGGATCATTAGAGTGAAGTTATTTGCATATTATGCACACCAGCAAACATGTTTGTCAGAAAAGGGCATACAACACGTTATCCCAGCTTTAGTCCACACACTTTCAAATCCTTAGTGAAAAAACTGGCATACCACTGACGCCATCACATATTTAGTCCAAAAACAAGCATATCACACACACTACCACAGCTTTAGTCTCAGACCTAACATACCACACACCATCACAGCACTTAGACCTGGCATCACAGCTTTTAGTCTTATACCTGACATACCACACACACCATCACAGCTTTAGTCTTATACCTGACATACCACACACACCATCACAGCTTTAGTCTTATACCTGACATACCACACACTATCACAGCTTTAGTCTTATACCTGACATACCACACACTATCACAGCTTTAGTCTTATACCTGACATACCACACACCATCACAGCTTTAGTCTTATACCTGACATACCACACACACCATCACAGCTTTAGTCTTACCACACCTGACATACCACACACATCACAGCAGTCTTATAGTCCCAGACCTGCTTTCACAGCTTTAGTCTTATACCTGACATACCACACACCATCACAGCTTTAGTCTTAGACCTGACATACCACACACCTGGCATATCACAGCTTTAGTCTTTTCTTAGTCTTAGACCTGACATACCACACACTATCACAGCTTTAGTCTTAGACCCACACACCATCACAGCTTTATTCATACCTGGCATACACACCATCACAGCTTTAGTCTTAGACCTGGCATACATAATAACACACCTTTATCACAGCTTTAGTCTTAGACCTGGCATGCCTTAGACCTGGCATACCACACTATCACAGCTTTAGTCTTATACCACCTGGCACCACATCACAGCTTTAGTCTTAGACCTGACATACCACACACTATCACAGCTTTAGTCTTTGAGTCTTATACCACAGCTTTAGTCTTAGACCTGACATACCACACACCATCACAGCTTTAGTCTTATACCTGACATACCACATACCACACACTATCACAGCTTTAGTCTTATACCTGACATACCACACACACCATCACAGCTTTAGTCTTTACCTGGTATACCACACACACCATCACAGTTTCAGGTCCAAAATCAACATTCTTGGCCTGTGTCGTGTAGCTATACTACGCTCAGACACAGTTTTTGTTGACATCTGCCCCTAAACGAGGCACGTCCGCTATAGGGAACTTACTTTCAGAGCAGCAGCCCCGGCCCTGCTAGGTAAATATCATGTTATTTTGTAAATGACTCAACAATTAAGTTGTTCTATCAGCATCATGACACAGCTGGTGCAGATTGCCAAGCTGACATTCAGGCAGGTTCCATGTCATATGCTGAATACAGGCTAGTGACAATTACATGTCTGTTGCCTCAAATTTCCTGAAAAAACATTGTTTTGCAGGGACTTATGTAGACCTCCTCCGAGGCTAATATCCAGCCCTTAGTCTGCAGCAAATGTCATGAGAATCCTGTATGATGGAGAGAGAGATATTAAAGTCACTGTTAAAAGTGGAGTAGTATATGTTACAAACAGCTGATTTCACTGATAACAGGACCAATAATGGATGTTGGAAGGTGTTAATGCGTAGTTTATTATTAAAGCAATTAATGCAACATCAAAATATGATATTGAAATACCTCGGAATTTAGAATGGAAACATTATAAAAATCCCATACAAATTCTGAGCAAGGATTTTGGCTCAAAATCGAGAAATCATGATTTTTAGAGCTTCTGAAAACCGTAGCTCCCAAAGTAATGCATTGATTTTTGTGATGTATGTTACATTTTGTAGGTAAATCTATTGGCTTAGAAAGTGTGCTTAATTTAGAGGTTGGCTGATAACTGGCATTCTGATTGGTCCTCTAGACTAAGTAGCAAATGAAAACAGAAATCAAGGGCAGATAATTTGAGATCATGAGAACCATGGGACTGGTTCAAGAAGTTAGTGTAGCTTTACTTCGATATGAGTTCCAGAGATGTAGTAGACATACCTATAGATATTGTTTGAAACAATGCCATCTCAAGATGGGAACATCCCATTGTTTCAATGTCAGCTGACAGACACAGCACGTGATAGACCAACACCAACATCTTCTGACAGCCATTGTTTTTACATTCAAGTGTGGTTGCTTGATCCCCTCAGAACTCGTTACCACACATACCTACCACCTCACCCTTGTACTTCATTGACTGGTGGTTCCTCATCGAAGGACTGGCACACAGATGAACACGGTTTGTTTGGGCTGCGGTCTTTCCATTTTGTGTGACAAAGCTTTGGTGAAATGAAAACACAATTGTTGTATAATTGGTGTTTATTTGAAAGATATTGTTAAAGATAGTTTCAGGTAATATGTACAAGGTATGGGTATGTGGGGGAAGGTTTTGTCCCCAAGGTGTACTTGAAACCTTGGGTATCAGAAGTATAATTAGTGATGTATGATCCACCAGGTATCTGGGATATAATTCATGAGTTATGATCCTCCAGGTATCTGGGATATAATTCATGAGTTATGATCCTCCAGGTATCTGGGATATATATGTTGAGTTATGATCCAGCAGGTATCTGGGATATAATTCATGAGTTATGATCCTCCAGGTATCTGGGATATATTTGTTGAGTTATGATCCTCCAGGTATCTGGGATATAATTCATGAGTTATGATCCACCAGGTATCTGGGATATATTTATTGAGTTATGATCCTCCAGGTATCTGGGATATATATGTTGAGTTATGATCCTCCAGGTATCTGGGATATATTTGTTGAGTTATGATCCTCCAGGTATCTGGGATATAATTCATGAGTTATGATCCTCCAGGTATCTGGGATATATTTGTTGAGTTATGATCCTCCAGGTATCTGGGATATATATCATGAGTTATGATCCTCCAGGTATCTGGGATATATTTGTTGAGTTATGATCCTCCAGGTATCTGGGATATAATTCATGAGTTATGATCCTCCAGGTATCTGGGATATATATGTTGAGTTATGATCCTCCAGGTATCTGGGATATAATTCATGAGTTATGATCCTCCAGGTATCTGGGATATAATTGTTGAGTTATGATCCTCCAGGTATCTGGGATATATTTGTTGAGTTATGATCCTCCAGGTATCTGGGATATATATGTTGAGTTATGATCCAGCAGGTATCTGGGATATATATGTTGAGTTATGATCCTCCAGGTATCTGGGATATATATGTTGAGATATGATCCACCAGGTCTATGTGATGTAATGAGATATGATACACCAGATATATGTCATATAATGAGATATGATCCACCAGATCTATGTGATGTAATGAGATTCGATCCACCAGATATATGTCATATAATGAGATTTGATCCACCAGATATATGTGATATAGTGACATTTGATCCACCAGATATATGTGATATAGTGAGATTTGATCCACCAGATAATGAGATTTGAGTTACAGTTTTAGACAGAAGCAATCACACGTGTGCAACAGAAAAGTTCTGATGAAACACCATTGATGAGTCTCCCGAAGGTTTCCAAGATAGTGCAAACTGTGAAATAGATGAAAGATGCTCTGTCTGTAGGAGACATGATGATAACTCAGTACAGTATAATGTATGTCACAAAAGTGGTTTACACCATCATAAAGATAGCAATGAAATCCTTGACATCACAGTCTCAGTGACTACATCAGACTACTGAAGTAAGATTACCTGGTGTTTGTGTGAGAGGTAAATGTAAGCAGACCCCTCTATCCCTATTGTTACATGTGTTGGTGATAGGATCACCTGAAAGTAAATACACCACTGTTGACTTGTCTAGGGTCACATTGCTTGTTAGCTGTAGTCAGTCTTGAGTTTATCTTCAATATCAGTTTATACACCATGCTTGTCTGAACACGAGAGCCATGATGTGCATGTCAACTGGAGAATCAATGCCCGTGTTGCTCCACCATGTCCTGTTTATTTCTGAAAAGTCCTACATATAACTTGAATAT